GCCGGAACTACTAGTAAGTTGATAGGTGGAAAAAGAAAGACTAGTACAGGTACAGATATAACCTGAAGCCAGTACATGCCTAGCACTTGCCAACAGTGTGTGACAGAGACCTTACCGACCGCCTAAACTGCTAACATGCCGATCAGTGACGAAGAGGATAAAGTAAAGTTAAGTAAAATTATTTCTTTTTGCCTCTGGTACAGTTCCGTTCAGAAGTTGGTGCTACACTGGTGGTGAAGGGTCTGTTGTACCCTTCCTGGACGACAGGTCACTACGCCGACCCTCCCACCAACACACACAATGGAACTGGCAACGGAGCAGTGTGATTAGAAGGAATACTCATCAAAAAAGAGATTGGGAGGATGTTAATGTGAATATCGGCCAACGTTACTGCTGATGGGTGATGAAGGTGTGTTAATATCTTGTTCACGGGAGCAGACGTCTATAGTGATAGGAGTGTCCATTAGAATGTCAGAATACAATAGGGAAATTAGTTTCGAATAACACTATAAGAAATAGTTGAACAGAGCTCATATATCAAATATATCAAGAGTATTCAATGTATTTATTACTTGGAGTTTTCCATATAATATACTCTCTCTCTCTCTCTCTCTCTTATATATATATATATATATATATATATATATATATATATATATATATATATATATAAAATATAGATTATTATATGAAAAACTTCAAGTAATGATTAAATTGAAGACTTGATACCTGTTCACCTACTTCTTATGGTGTTCATTCGAAACAAGTTTCACTATTGTATTTTGATATTTTAATGGATACTCCTATCACTACAGTTTTCTTCTATCGTCAGCAGGATATTCATATCAATATCCTTCCCATCTCCTTTTATCCTCTTCACCACTGATCGGCTCGTTAGCAGCTTGGGTGATCGGTCACGTCTCTGTTACACACTGTTGGCAAGTACTGGGCATGCACTGGCTCCTGAATGTATCTGAACCTGCTCCAGTGCTTATCCAGTATGGTCTTGAGAGAGCTTACACTGGGCCGTCACAACGCTCTCTGGTAGATCGTTCCAAGAGTTCACAATTCTCACCCGAAAAGTTTGCCCTCACAGTTTTCCGGATTTGTGGCTTCTTCAATCTTGAGCTGTGACCCCTTGTGGGGCGAGCTTCCACCAGCTCCAGGTAAGGACACTCGACTCAGTAGTGCCCTTTAAGATACTTGTACACCCTTCACCGTCAGTGTACCACAAACTTCTGAGCGGAACTGTACATTAATATCTAGAAATACCATAGTTATCCATACAAATTTTGGAAAACTAAAATATTAAAGAAAACGGTAAATATTATAGGAGTAACTAATAAAACAACATTTACCGTCAGATATAATACATCAAGTCGTAATTACACTGAGTAAACAGTAAACGTAACAGGGAGAGGAAACAGTAAAGGAAGCAACAGGAATAACACAAAAACAATGAAGGAAACAGCATAAAAACAGAAAAAAAAACAGCAAAGGAAATACAAAGAACACGAGAAAAAGTAAAAGAAACAACAGGAATAGCAGAAGAAACAGTAAAGAAAACAACAGGAAACAGTAAAAGAAACAGGAGCAACAACAGGAGCATCAGTCAACAACAGGAACAGCAGTGGTGGTGATAAGGAGGAAGAGGAAGAAAAGGAGAAGCAGAAGAGAAGGAGGAAGAAGAGGAGGAGGAGGGGAAGAAGAGGGAGTAGGGAAGAGGAGTAGGGGGAGGAGGAGGAAGAGGAGGAGAGAGGAAGAGGAGGAGGAAGAGGAGGAGGAAGAGGGAGGAAGAGGAGGAGGAAGAGGAGGAGGGAAGAGGAGGAGGAAGAGGAGGAGGAAGAGGAGGAAGAGGAGGAAGAGGAGGAGGAGGAAGAGGAGGAGGAGGAAGAGAATGGGAGAAAGAAGAAGAGGAGGAAGAGGAGGAGGAAGAAGAGGAGGAGGAGGAGGAGGAGGAAGATGAAGAGGAGGAGGAAGATGAAGAGGAAGAAGAGGAGGGAGAAGAGGACACTTACCTTAGTCATGAAGAGGGGAAGTGGTTCGACGTCACATCATTTTCATTCCATCGTTAAGAACACACAAAAAAAAATCACTTTATTTCACTTATAAAAAAACACTTGGAAACTGTAACACTTTTCTTCACATAATACATCACTTCTGTTACTTAACTCTTTAGAAACACTTACAGTACCACTTTTTTCACTTAAAACACTTACAGTACCACTTTTCTGCACTTACAACACTTACAGTACCACTTTTTCACTTAAAATACTTACAGTACCACTTTTCTACACTTACAACACTTACAGTACCACTTTTCTGCACTTACAACACTTACAGTATCACTTTTCTGCACTGACAACACTTACAGTACCACTTTTTTCACTTAAAACACTTACAGTAGCACTTTTCTGCACTTACAACACTTACAGTATCACTTTTCTGCACTTACAATACTTACAGTATCACTTTTCTGCACTTACAACACTTACAGTATCACTTTTTTCACTAAAATACTTAGAGTACCACTTTTCTGCACTTACAACACTTACAGTATTACTTTTTTCACTTACAACACTTACAGTAGCACTTTTCTACACTTACAACACTTACAGTATCACTTTTTTCACTTAAAATACTTAAGAGTATCATTTTTCTGCACTTAAAACGTCACTTAAACATTTGTGGCACTTGGAAACACTTAGAAAAGTCAACTTAATGGGTTTAAAAGGCCATTAATTTCACTTTAAGTATTATATAAGTACTTTACTATACTGTACTTATAAAAGTCACCTACTTATAAAAAAAACACATTACGTCAAATACACACACTTTAGTCTTTAAGTATTTATGGTCGTATTTCTGTACTTACGTCCGTATTTTCTGTATTTCCAACCGTACTTTTCTTTTTTCATTCGTATTTCCGTATTTCCGTCCGTATTTCTGTAGTTATGTCCGTATATCCGTCCGTATTTCTGTAGTTATGTCCGTATATCCGTCCGTATTTCTGTAGTTATGTCCGTATATCCGTCCGTGTTTCCCCCACGTAACGGCAACGTCCGACCCTTAGAACGTCACCTGAACGACTGATGAAAAAAAAAAACTTACAATTTCACCCAGCCCCTCAAGGTATACTACCCAACAACCATAACTACTTGAGCAAATTACCATCGACCCGCTTTGTTTACATCGGATTACCTGGGGGGGTGTGGGTGTGGCGACTACCATACGTAATGTCAGCCAATCAGAACCGGTTATAGGAGATGGTAACGTTTGGTTTGGACAATCAAGTTACTGAAATCAGGTGTGTGTGTGTGTGTGTGTGATATGGTGATAGCCAATCAGGTGTTGCCTCTCCCTCCTCTCCCTCCTACTCTCCCTCCTCTCCCTCCTCCTCTTCTTCTCCCTCCTCTCCCTCCTACTCTCCTTCCTCTTCCTCCTCTTAATAATCTATACCCACGTCATAACATCACCAGTGAAGAGTTAGTATGGACCACAGTTCGTCACTCCCACCCGTACAGTACGATAGTGAGACGCTCGTACCGTAGCGCTGTAAACATACGATACTCACGGATAGTCGCCACAGGAATTAGAACGTACCCTTAGTTATTTCTTTGTCTTCGATTATACTGTTATTCATCCGTTATTCATTCTTATTCATGTATATTCCTGTTCTTCACCTGTTATTCATGTACCTCCCTGTTCTTCATCTGTTCTTCACCTGTTATTCATGTAGTTCCCTGTTCTTCACCTGTTATTCATGTACCTCCCTGTTCTTCATCTGTTCTTCACCTGTTATTCACGTAGTTCCCTGTTCTTCACCTGTTATTCACGTGCCTACCTGTTCTTCATCTGTTCTTCACCTGTTATTCACGTAGTTCCCTGTTCTTCACCTGTTATTCATGTACCTCCCTGTTCTTCATCTGTTCTTCACCTGTTATTCATGTACCTCCCTGTTCTTCACCAGTTATAATACTACAAACATCACACCATTCACACCAAACGCCATTTTACATTTGCCTCAGTGGCTTCATAACCAGAGCCACGTGTTTATATTTTTCGACGTTTAGTGATATTTAGGCTTGTCTTCGGTGTTTAATAATGATAGCGTGTGGCGTGTAAATGTTTTCGGGGTTTAGAAATATAGCGTGTAAAATTTTTCGGTGTTTAGTTATTTTACGTATAATTTTTTTTTTAATATCTAGCTTAATTAAGGCAGAGAGAGAGAGAGAGAGAGAGAGAGAGAGAGAGAGAGAGAGAGACATCTGTTAATAGACTCCACATCATGCTACCCTGACTGGCCATGAGATTATCTGGCCTAATCCTCCCATGGGTGGCCCTCATCCTCCTCCCTCACCCTCATTCTACTCCACCTTTACCCTCCCTCATCTCCCCCCCCTCTCTCTCACCCCCACCCCATGCTAACTTCTCCTCCCTTTTCTCCCTTTCTTCCTTTCCCATTATCCCTTCCTCCCCCTCCCCCTCTCCCTCCTCCTCTCCCCTCCCTTCCCCTTCCTCTCCCTCCCCGAGTGAGGTACAAGACAGGCTACAGGACCTTACAGTACAGGCTGCAGAAGGTCGACTATTGAGAATCAGTGCACGAGTCAGTGGGGCGAGGAGCTCACATTACCTCTCTGTTACATACACGCTGGGGAGAGGAGGGGAGGGAAGGGGAGAAAGAGGAGGGGAAAGAGAGGGGGAGGGGAGGAGGGACCTGGTAAATGAAGGTAAGATGGGGAGAGAAGGGGAAGAGAAGGGAGGGTAGGGGAAATAAGAAGAGATGTGGGGAGGAGAAGATAGCTGGGGGGAGAGTGCGAATATAAGAAGATAGAGAGAGGGGAGAGGTGGGGGAGTAAGATAGTAAGGGGAGGCTGCTGAGAGGGTGAGAGAGTAGAGAGTAGGAGGAAGGGGGAAGGGGGAGACTGGGAGGCGGCGGGGGAGTAGGAGGAGGAGGAGGAGTCAGAGGAGGAGGACGAGGAGGAGCAGGAGGCGAGTGGGAGGTACAGCTCAACTCAGTGGTGGTGTGGACACAGTGCTTGAGACAACAGGACCCAGGGGGCAGGCCAGACCAGCTGTGTGTGTGTGGGTGTGTGGTAGGCAGCTGAGACACTCACCCCCATCTGGCAGTCGATGAGGAAAGAAGACCTGGCCAAATAACATATCCACTATCTCCTGTAACTCGGTGATTATTAATATGTGTGTTTAGTGTTTTTTATTACAGACAGACAGACAGACTCACAGACTCACAGACGGGCACTCAGACTCTCAGACTGATGGACGGGCATTCAAACAGACGGGCACTCAGACAGACTCTCAGACAGATGGACGGGCATTCAAACAGACGGGCAGACAGACTCTCAGACAGATGGACGGGCATTCAAACAGACGGGCACTCAGACTCTCAGACTGATGGACGGGCATTCAAACAGACGGGCACTCAGACAGACTCACAGACAGATGGAAGGGCATTCAAACAGACGGGCACTCAGACAGACACCCTCTATTTTGGGTGGCTGACCGCATGAAGCAAAAAACAGACTATGGAGGTTTCTAATTATCTGTCTTGTCTGTCACTCTCTCGCTCCTTTTCTTCTTCCTTCTCCTGTCTGTCTGTCTGTCTGTTGGTTTGTTTGTATGTTTTTTTTCTTTTTGTCTTCTTTTCTTTTCACATTCTCTCTCATTCTGTCTCTCTTTTTCACTATGTTTCCCTTTACACATCCACTCCACCCCCACACATCCACTACACCTCTACAACATCCACTCCACCCCTTACACATCCACTCCAACCCCTTACACATCCACCACACCCCCACATCCACTCCACCCTTACACATCCACTCCACCCCCTTACACATCCACTCCACCCCTTACACATCCACTCCACCCCTTACACATCCACTCCACCCCTTACACATCCACTCCACCCCTTACACATCCACTCCACCCCTTACACATCCACTCCACCCCTTACACATCCACTCCATCCACTCCACCCTCACCACCCTCACCTCCCTCACCCCCCTCACCCTTATAAAGCCACTTCTCTTCTCCCTCATTAGTTTAAACGTCACATGTAATTATCAACTGAACCCAAACAACTTACACTGTACTGTCTGTGTTGTCACGTGTGTACCCCAGTGATTTGTGTATGTATGTATGTATGTATGTAAGGGTATCAACACACACACACACACACACACACTTATGCTACACGCACTTAAGTATTTTGTACTTTGCTACTTATAAGTGTATGATAGGTAAACAAAAAAGGTATTCAATTAGGTATGTAAACAAAGTAAACAATAAAGTAAACAATGGTAAACAATCAGGTACACAATAGTAAACAATCAGGCAAACAAACAAAGGTTAGCAACCAGGTAAACAAACAATCAGGTAAGCAAACAAAATGTAAACAATCAGGTAAGTAAACAAAGGTAAACAATCAGGTAAACAAACAATCAAGTAAACAAACAAAACGTAAACAATCAAGTAAGTAAACAAAGGTAAACAAATTGATATAAACAAAGACAGCCCAAAGAAAGTGGTATAGAGACTGAAGGCTGAGGACAATAGACCTTGTTTGTATGTCAAGTAAACACACACTGACCCTGACACAAGCCAACAGTACCTGCTCTATGTGGACGAAGGGAGGCGAGTCCTTTCTTGTGGCCGACGACCCGGGTTCTCTCTCTCTCTCTGTCTGTCTGTCTCTCTCTGTTTATCTGTCTATCCCTCTATCTTACAGCCGTGTGTTTTCCTCCTTCTATTCCTCCCTCCTTTCTTCCTTTCCCTTTCTCTCTCCCCCTCTTTCCCCCTTCCCTCCTTTCTTTCCCCCTCTCCTCTTTCCCTTCCTACCCTCTCTCTTCCTCCATCCTTTCTTCCTTTTTCCTTTCACTGTCTTTCTTTCTTCCATCTCTCCTCCTTCCTCTTCCTCTTCCATTCTCTCCTCTCCCCCTCACACGACTTATGCGTGAGACATCAACTCTTAGGTAATCGACCAATGGCCACCCGTAGGAAAGACCTGATGAGAGGGAGAGAAGGGAGGAGGAGTTGAGGGAGAAAGGGAGATGGGAGGGAGAGGAGGGAGGAGGAGTTGAGGGAGAAAGGGAGATGGGAGGGAGAGAAAGGGAGGTACAGTAATTAAGGTTGAGGATGTGGAGGGAGAGATGAAACGAAGGAGAGGCTGGTGATGGGAGGAGGGAGAGAAAGGGAGGGAAGTAGGATAAGGAGTAAGAGAAAGAAAGGGGATGAAGGTGAGGGGGAGGGAGATAAAGGGAGAGAAAGGGAGGTATGTGGGGGAGAACGCCTGCAGTACACAAGATCATAATATAAACGAACATCTTATTATGAATACGTCTGTCTGTCTGTCTGTCTGTCTGTCTGTCTGTCTCTGTGGGTGTGTGTGTGTTATCACTGTGTTACCACCCTTGCCAACCACTTAACATCAAAACAAGCGTAAGTGCATATGCCTGCTGATAAGTATAAGTGTTAATATGA